TGAACAAATGTCCTCTATATAATGATACCTTTAAAAAAATCTTAGCAGCCTTCTCTTCTGAAAATGAAGTAATCATTTTTATTAGAAATAATTTTGGGGGGCTGAGATGGCTCAGCAATTAAGAGCACTGACTGCTCTTGCAGAGGACTGGATTCAGTTCTTAGCACCTACATGGTGGTTAACAACTATTTGTAACTCCAGTTCCAGGGGCTCCAATGCCTTCTTCTGACCTCCATGGGCATTACACCACACAGGTGCACTTGCATACATACAGACAAGACACTCATACACATAAAATTTAAAAAAAAAACTATTTAAAAGAAACAATTTTGTTCAATATACTATTATTGATGATTTGATTTTTTCCATGTATATGAGGACAAGGGGGACCAGGTTAGTTTGTAAGCTAGATTACCTAACTGATAAAATGCAGATAAGGAGACCAACTATTGTGTGTAGCAGCTACTTTTACTGTCACTGGCAACATAACTGTGCTTAGCCACCAGTCACTATGTATAATACTAGCAGGTTAGATTTATGGAGCACTTATTACTTGCAGTGGCTAAGCATTTTAAGAGCACTGATTCATTTAATTCTCATACAAAGCAAATGAGTTAAATATCTTACCCTCACTTTCCAAGTAAAAAACTGAGTCAAAAGATTAACCTATCAACATGCAAATTCTATTCATCTCAATGAAAACTTTATCTTTAGCATTTTCCTAGGCCACTAAAACATCTTCATAAACATTATCATTGGCTTCATAATGCTCCACTGTATAAATTTATCATAATTTATGCAACCATCCCCCTACCACTGGGAAATTCTGGTTGTTTCCAAAGCGACATTATTACAGTCCTACTATAGACATCTCTGGAGGTAAGACCTCACCCGATTTTTAAAATATTATTTTCTTAGAATACACTTTTAAAAGAATTGGTGGGCCAATAAATACTTGGATGAATAAAATATACAAATTGCTATCGTTTTGTCTTAGGAGATTTTCTTCTTGCTTTCATGCTTACAAAATGTCTTCCCATCTTAAGAACAAGTGAACATTCTCCTATATTCTATTTGTCATTTACTTTTATATTTAGCTTGTATATCTGAATTTTGTTTTTATGCATATTTACTTTTATTTTTAGCTTGTACACTTGAATTTTATTTTTATGCTACGTATTTTTTTCTCTAAATAGCTAGATTTTAAAATGTTGATGAATCATTTGTGTAAAAATAAGACATTAAAAATATATATTGATTGTTCCCCTTCCCCCTTTCTATCACGGCATTCTACCACTCCTCCCAGGAAGCCTGACCTGCCCCCATGGCCATTATCAGCTCTGTGCCTTCTCTGATTTTCTAGTTGAAACACGGTATCTAGTACTTCAAAGCTAGCATCCAGCTATGAGAGAGAATATGCAACGTTTGTCATAGGAAGGGTTAAATGGAGAGTGGAATGGGAGGGCAGGGCAGAAGAGGGAGTTTAAGGAGAGATAATGAACCCTAAACGCCTTTAGAAAAAGCCATATGGAAACCTACTACTATAGAAGCTTCTTAAAGTATGTACATTATAAAAAGAGTAAAATAAGTTACCTTATAATGGGGGGGGCACAGGAGTCCTATAGACCCTCAAACTGTATTAGTCATTGCCCAGCTCTTAGTTACCAACCAGAACCTCACTGTAAGACCCTATAGCTGAAGACACTACATACATGAGTCACAGGACAAACAAGGAGAAATCAAGTGACTTACTTCAAAGCCTCATCTCTATTGGCTAGCTTTCATAGTGCTAGAAGGTGCTAAGCATGCTACCAGAAGGAAAAAATATTCATCAGTCTTACCCAGCTGTGAATCCTGTGAACTACAACAACTGGCCTGGCAAGATATGCCCACCGGTGCCACAGTGGCACAAATATTATGGGAGTAACCAACCACTTTCTAATTGAATTTATGGTCAGCTTTGTAAGATGGAATCTAGAACTGACACTGATATCAGGCCTAGGAATCTGAGGCTAGATAGGTCAAAGAGCATACAGGAGACACTAAACCAAGTTTTCTACTAGTTATAGTAATAAACTGACTCCTAATGACTTTTTGTTATATTCATAGATTAATGCACCTCTCAACTCTCAATAGAGAAGCTTCCTCATGCCGTAGATGGTGATTAAAACAGAAACCCACACCTGGCCAATGTGCAGGGAACAAGAGGCTGTAGAGTGTTTATTCCTGAATAGAACACCTGTATCAAATTCTGCCTCCCAAGGCTCAGGGATCATTGTGGGGGAGGGAGTGGAAAGACTATAAGAGCCGGAGGTGGTAGATGACTATCAGGAAATAGTTTTCCAGGAAATAGTTTCCAGTTTCCAGGAAATAGTTTCAGTTACTCATAGGAACTCACTGCAATGGTGACATAGTATGCACAAGTCCCATGCAAACTCAAACCAAACAAAATCCCAGCATAGACATGGGGAAGTGGGTAAGAAACCCCAATCCTACCTAAGGAACTATTGGCAACCTATGGCTGCTGGGAAGAGAGAGCCAGTCTCTTTCAAGTGTGATTCTTGGTAGGTCAACCAGGCTCCAGTGGATGGATTCATGCTGAAGGACATTCGGGAACATAAATTAGATTGTATAAGGCCTTATTATACATAAAATAGAGTACATTAAATTGGGTGGGGGGACACAGAAAGGGGCGGTGCAGATGGGGAGGGGATCTAAATACCATAAATTATATTTTCTAGAAACTGAAAAAAAATCAATTAAAATATATATATAGGAGAGTGATATCTAGAAGATAGGTAAGAGCTCTATTTGAGTCGCACATGGTGGCACACTCCTTTAGTCCTAGCAATCAGGAGGCAGAGGCCAGCCTGATCTACATAGTGAGTTCCAGGCCAGCTGTCTCAAAAAGACAAAGAAAACAAAAACAACAAAACCCAAGAAGCATGCTATTCGAGCATGAACGATTACTCAGGAAAACACGGAACAGAAATAAGAGCCAAATGACAGAGCATGTGAAACCAAGATGTCAAGGTTGGTAAAAAAACAGCTATGTGAGAATGCATATCAGTTCTTTTTTGCTACCAGAAGCAGGGCTATCAGAATATCATACCATGTTCATAGCGCTCAAAGAAGTGCTCTAGAACATTTTAAATCTAATGATAGGCAAATAAGAGGGATCTAAAATGCTTTAACTGATGATGTTTCATTCTAGGAATTTTCATGTTACTCTGTTCCCATACTAAACTAGGTCCTCCTCTTTAAGAGAAGTATTTCTGAAAAAGAGGCAAATCAGCTCTGCTGCAAGAACAGTCACTTAAGCTATTGAAACCATAAGCAATACTGGCTCTGATGAAGAAAATAAACCAGGCTTATGCAAAAGTGTATTTCTAGCCTTTTCCTGCCATCTCATTAATGTGAGCCAAACTTGCAATGCTCCAATATCCTCAACACCCTCACTGCTTTACTGACCTGCTTATCACAGAACAAGAACCTTCTAAGATACAAGACAAGAAGTCTTTCAACTATGTTAACCTGCTAGATATTTTTGAACTGTCTCTAGTATATGACTATATTTAGGCACAAGTGAAGAGTCTGTTGTCTGTTTACAAAAAAATGTGCCTATCTGCACATGGATCTGTTTCTAAATGTACACTGAGTACCCTACTAAGGATCATATTCCCAGCTAGGAAAACCTAGAAGGAACTCAGGGTTTATGCCTGAATCCTTGGTAATTAACTACCACATGAGGAAAAAAACTTGTCTAAATATTTTTTATTTCTACTGGGTCTTTGCCCAAGAAAAGAACTCATGTATAACTGAAAAACTGTTTCTTCTCAAGCAAACAAAAAATCTCTCTCCATAGAAAGACAATGTAAACTAGAAAGATAAATTGCATACAAGAACAGTCTCTACATCTGTCTTATACCAGTGAGATCCAATAGCAAATGAGCAGAAGCCTGGGATGGATGTGGTTTGGATGGATGGGATTCCTCTATGACAAAAAGTATAAATAAGGAAAAACGTTCTAAGACTGAGATGCTGCCCCAATATAATCAAAGCTCTGGGCAAAGCAGGCACATGGAAGACACTGGCAACAACCATCCAACCTGGACAGTTCAGTCAGCCTTCACTTGTATCTAAATGTCTGAGAGTGTTAACCACCCCCATAACAATCCCTGCCTACGTTACCCTCATCATTACCTGGTCTACACATTCACCTAAATATGGCAGAAAACCCCACCCTCAGTTGATACTAAAGGTCTTGGATAGACTATCAGCTATATATTAGCTCAAATATTTACACTAGTTCTTCAACTTTTTCTTCAAAATGCATTCAAAGTCCTGTTGATGCTTACACTGGGCTCGGTCATTCTTTGGGGTAACATGAGAATGAGTACCTAAATCAATAATTAGCTCATATTGTGGTTGGTCACTATTGGTTTTACATATACTATGCACTCCTTCCTTTGACTTCTCCATCTATCTCCCTAATTCCTACTTAGAATAGCTTAGACACCACCTTTTCCAGTAATCCTTCCTTAACCAAATGGGTCCTTACATTTTCTCCCAATAGCACTTCCTTTTGCTGAATTACATTCCTCTGCTGTGTCCCACCCTCTGAACATTACCTGAACAACAGTCATCACACTGCATTCTGCTTGTTTATAAGATGCATCAGCCTCTGAATTCCTTCAAAGGCAGAGATCTTTGCTCATCTTTATGAGAAGGTTTTTAACAGTATCTGACATTTGACAGGCATTTAAAACTATTTGTCAGATGAGTAAATGCACGCTATGAGTATGTTCAGATTTAGTAACAGAATCACAGGCAAGTCTTTATAAAACATCAATTCATCATCCTTATCCAAAATTTCCTACATAAGTATTTCCTAAAAGTCGTGTCCAGCTATTAAAACAAGAAAATTATTATCCATACTCAACATCACATAAACACTTTCTAATGAAAACATTGTATAAACAAACAAAGAAAACGCTTACCGGCAAAGTTCCAGGCAGAGATGCATCAAAAAAAGAAACCGAAGAATTTGGAGGTGCTGCAAAACACACTTGAGATCCAGAGAAGAGTTTAGAGTTGGAGGAAATCTGGGCATGAATTTCCAATCCTACCACAGCTGCCCATTTGTGTTCACTAAAGAGAAAGAAAATGGTTAAGTTCCATTTGTCAGCACATGTGAATTTCTATAAACCTAAATCTCAAATGTCAATATTCTATGTGTTTATGAAAATTTATCCTTATAATTTAAAATGTGTCATATTTTGTTGGTGAATAATCAAAAGTGATCCATAATGAACACTTACAACCAGTTTGGCAAACTCATTACAACACTGTATCAGGAAGGTCATGATATGACAAGCAGGAGAGTGATAGAGAAGAAAACAATTTAGCTTCTTAAAACAATTTAGAAATGGGTATCAAGTGATGGCTGTTTGACTAATTTCATTGTAAAGCAGGAACTTTTAAATCAACTGTTCCTTAATCACTTAGTAAATGACTTGGTAAGTGGATGAAGGCTATCTTCTGGTCATTATTAGAATTAACACAAATGGCAGGATTCTAGTACTAGAGAAATAATGATTAAATTCTCAACTACTTGCATTGTCGCTTGCAGCTACAATGACCAGTCACACAGATATAACGAATCAACATTACACAGCACTCCTGAAAACTTCTAAGTAACATTAAACCATCAAATGCAATATTTTTTGACCCTCCAAGTTACCTCCAATTCCTGAGAACTACTTTCAAATTTCTACATCTGCTCATACTTGATTGTGAGCAAAGCTAAGTTATGAAATGCTACATTAAGTTCTATCTGGTCATTCCTACTCTATTGGGCCAGTACACAGTTCTTTTCAGATCGTTATAAATGTTCTATTCCATATGAAATCTATGTATGCTCCTAACCTACTGTTCTCTCAAGCAGTTTTCTATATTATCTAGATTTTTGTTCACATGTACTCAATTTTATTTCGATCAACACATGAAGATCTACATCTTGTGTAAAAAGATCGGTTCCTTCTTTTTAAAATTTGGAAAGCAAAGCCTACAAGCGAGAGGAAATGAATTCATGAGAAACTCTGCATTCTGTATGTAATAAAGTATTTCTGCTGTTTCATTGAATGAAAAGGAGATGATCTAATGCTTTTGGACATTTTCCCCTCTCCTTTACTGAAAAGCTCAGAAAAAAAAAGCCAGTCTCAAAGAACAAAACAAAATATTAGAAAGATGCCTTGCTTCTGTATTTTTTTAAATTTTATTTATTTTTTTTATTTTATGTGTATGCATGTATTGCCTGCATGTAGATAAGTGCACCCGTGTCATGCAATGCCCGAGGAAGTCAGAAGAGGCTGTCGGGTCCCCTGGGACTGGAGTTATGGACAGTTGTTAGCTGCCATGTGGGTGCTGGGATTCGAACCCGGGTCTTCTGCACGAACAACCAGTGTTCTTAACCTCTGAGCCATCTCTCCAGTCCTGTTTCCGTATTTTTAAAGAAACTATTTAAATCTTATACACTGAAGTGTCAATAGCTGTTTAGGAAGTAACTGGCAGAATAAGCAAAACTCTACATAACCAAGAGGGCGATTTCTTCAATTGAGTACATCCTCCTAGGTCTAGCCCCACACGTTCAACGTAAAACGCCTCCACGGATAGGTGGTCTTTTGACTAATGACATTAAGCCTCTACTACCCAGGTCTTGTATATAAAAACTGTTTTCTACCATACTAGCCCGAGGTGACGTAAATGTCAGCTAAACACGACCCAGAATCTAGTGTCACAGACCCCCACTATTAGGGTTATCTATCCGGTTCCAACCTTCTGCCTGTGCAGGCAGCTCAAGAAAACACTTGCTATTTTTCACTAGTACGTTGTCCAAATATGCCGACTTAGAACAGAAGTTTACACGTGGGGGGTGGAGCTGAGAGGCCTGTTTCATTTTTCATTTAGGCTTCAGGGATTCACGCTATATAGGCGAACACCCTCCCGCCCACCAAAAACATAAGGGCCATCTTCTTCGCCCCGCACTTGCACTAGGCTCAGACGGACGGAAATAGTATGAAGACTGTATACCCTTTTCTCGACTTCTGGGCCGTGTGGAGGGGCTGCTGAGTCCCTGAACTCTGTCCCCTCGTCCTCTCGGTCGTGGGCAGAGTCGGAGTCCTACTTCGGAGGCGGGACCCGCGGTCAATCCACACTAAAGCCCAGCGTCTTCCAGGACAGCCCCACCGGAGCAAGGGCGCCGCCATTGCACCGCCGAAGTCCGGATCAGGTGACCTAGCCGCCCCTGCCGCAAGGCTTCCTGGGAAGCGTAGTTCTAGCAATGCTCCACAACGGTGTGCGCATAGACCGGAAGACTACTATTCCCGGCAACTATTGCCACTGGAAGGCTGCCGGAACTCTGTCGGGAAGTGGACCTGGGGGAGAGGATGGGAGGGTTTCTGGGTCAGGAGGCGTGACTCCTCCTAGCCCGGAGCTGGTGAGCTTTGTGGCTGTGACCGCGGGTGTAAGTGTGAGAGCTTGTTGCTAGAGGACCAAGAAGCCTGATCAAGGATTTATAACCCACTTAAGCTTACAAATTGAAATAAATGACTCTGACAATACTACGAAGACGTCCTAAACCCGTACCCCGTTAATTTTCGCTCTCTGCTGCACTTCACACAAATTTGTGTATTTATACCAATCATTGCTTACTTGTATGCTTGCTATATTCCTAGTCCGATTCTTAGGCACTGGTGATGCAGACAGGAGGACACTTAGGAGTGTCATTTTATAGAGTTTACATCTTAGGGAGAGAAGCATACAGAAAAGTGTTTTTCTTCTTTTAAATATGCTTTTATTGCCGGGCGAGGTGGCGCACACCTTTCATCCCAGCACTAGGGAGGCAGAGGCAGGCGGATCTCTATGAGTGCCAGGCCAGCCTGGTCTACGTAGTGAGTTCCAGAACAGCTGGGGCTACAGGGAGAACCTGTCTCAAAAAGACCTGGAAAAAAAAAAAAGAAAAGAAAAAAAAGCTTTCATGTAGGTAAAAAGCACTATATTTAAGCAGAAGTACTTGGAGACGAACAGACCTAGACTGAACTTTCATGAGTATTTTTACTTAATATTTTTTTTTCCTCAACCATCATCTGAAGTAATTTCCTCATATGCTAGGAAGCTTTGATGGAGATAACTGTCACAAATGGATTTCTTTTATTGTTTGACTTCAAAACTCATATCCCGGACTGGGAATATACGTCAGTCATACCGCGCTTACCTAGCATGCACAGGGTGCTGATTTCTACCTCAGCAAGGCGAAAGCAAGCGAACAAAATCCCTCATACCCCGTATGGAAACTCCAGGTGATTCTTTGTAGTTGAAAACATAGTCTGGAACAGCACTCTTTTTTTAATCATCTGATTATAATTCTTCACACAGTACTTAACAGTTACCTGATGTTTATCTTCTGTTTCCTCTGTGTTCTTCACGACAGTATTTCCAGAGTACAAAGTAGGCACCTCTAGAATATTTGGTGAAGCAGTGTGGAGAATGCATTTGACAATAGACAGGGCTGAATGCTGTTTAGAGGGTAGGTGTTCAGGAAAGTGATGATGAATTAGGGTAGTGATGGAGGCAAAGAGAAAGTGATCTGTTTCAGACAGGTGTAGAAGGTGAGATTGAAGAACTGATGATGGATTGGCTAGGATGGCGGAGGGGGGTGGTGGCAAGTAACTTCGGAGTTTCTGGCTTGTATATCTGGGTGTCTCATGTCATTATTCACTAAGGTAAGGAAGTCAGAAAAAGAACAGGTTTTCTGTGAAAAGGTATGTGTTTGGTTGTCTTGGAGGCTTCCAAGAGGAGAAATCAGACATTATAGATGCCTAACTGAATATGGAGCAGGAAAAAAAAAGATAGGCACCCTGCATTTTTTTTTTTTTTTTACTATTCTGACAAATCATTCGCTTGATACAAATTACCTCTGAAAGGACTTGGATGTTGAATTCTAGAAATAAACCC